TATTTGAAGGACAGGGAGCTATAAGGGATGGATGCAGAAAGAAAACAGGACATACTGAAAGACATTGGACTTTGAGACACTGGATGTTCTTGCAGTCTGCTCTGCTATGCTGACTGAGGAAGAAAAACTTTGCTGCAAAGCAAGAGTGGGACCCATTGATACCTGACATGGAAAATCTCACTGTGGCAATGAATGACAGTAACTGCAGTAAGGAAATAAAGTGAGCTACATTTGTTTGCCTAATTAATCTTTCCTAAATAATGGCTGTTGTTAAATCCGTCTTATAAATTCTTAGATGTCCTGCTGTAAATGTATTTCTAAGGGATTACATTAATTGGTACATTTTATGTGCAGTCTCTGGTCTATCTAAACACACACACAAACACATCTCAATAGCTTGAACAATATGGGGAAAAACTTGTTTGTGGTACAGTGACAGGACACCATTTTTTCCTCACACCAGGGCACAGTGCTCGTCTGAGTTGCTACAGTTTCCGCATTCATTGCATGCTGCACATTAGCTCAAAAATCATTTATTCCACACAATTATTGGGAAATGTAATATAAGTTTTACTGAACACAAATTCAATGTTGCAAAATGATTATTTTTAATTGAAAATAATTATCTGTGTGGTTCATTTATTTAGTTCCATTCATGTGTGGAGAATAACCAATTCAGCCAGCTTGGCCAGATGACGTCTAAGTCATGCCTGTTCCCTACATGTTGGGCTTAGAATTAAACTACTGCATTTGCTCTGTGGATGCAAAGTTGCAAAACAGGCGAAACATCCAGGTGCCACTTCAAGAATGCTTGAAAATCTTTTTCGCAATATTTAAATGAATGAGGCACTGTCCTGTAATCCAGTAACCGGTTAATACACCATTGCCTTCTCTCTTTGTTGTGCGTTGTTTATATCAGTCACCCAGAATGTGATGTGATTTACTGTCAGCTATAGTATCAGAAAAAGCTCTGAGAATTGTTATGTCGGTAAACTTCACAAGATTTCTACTTTTCGTTCCTGTTTTTCTGCCCCTACACTGCCTCCACTGTAACTATATACACAAGTTGAATACACAAGGGTTTGCTTTGCTTGTAATTAGTTGCTTTCTAAAGTTAAAGTCCTTTTTTTCTTTTCATTGATGGTAAAATTGGTGCACAAAGGAATTAGACACAGACCACACACTCACATCACTGAAAGACTGATCATTGTAATGTGAGACCCCGCTCAGATAGTGAACTAAACACAGATTGGGTACAACATTAGTACCATCAGTCTAAAATATTGTATAGATGCCTCCATATTGCAAAAACAGCTCTGACCTGTTGGGGCACGGACGGGATGTTAGAATCTGAAACTTTGGGCAGTTGCTCGATGAAACTGGGATCTGGGGAGTTGAGAAATTATGCTTTGAATGCTTGGTTGTGCTGCTGGAGCCGTTCCTGAACTGTTTTTGCTTTGTCCTGCTAAAGGGAAACAGCTGGCATTGAGGAGTGCCATTGCCATAGCAGGGCATACTTGGTCTTCAGCAATGTTTAAGTTGGTGACACATGTCAAAGTGACATCCACGTGAACGTCAGGACCGAAGGTTTCCCAGCAGAACATTTCATTTTTAAAGATGATCAATGTCATTCACTTCATCTGTCACCAGAGTCTCATAAGATTGGTTTAAATTAAGATTAAAGTGTATTTCTTATTAGCTTATGTTAAAATATTGAATTTCCCCCCATAGAGACAGATTTTTAATTTTTTCTAATAAAGATATATATATATATATTTTTTGACAGAAAGTCTATCTCCTGAAGTGGTCAAATGAAAAATTGACTGATTCAAACACACCACTATGGTGTCGTGAGCTTTCGCAGTGCTTCTTGCATAATTAAATAGCTCCATAATTGCATACCCTAAGAGTCTTGGGGGAGAGCACCTGCAAATTAATCTAAGATTGTATTAAAATCATGATGACATTATTTTCTTTGTTGCCTGTTAAAAGCCCTTTTCTTGTGGGCTGTCTTGGACATTATATTTAAATGTTTTATTGAGATAATTTTGTAATTGTTGAACCTTTATAGGCAAGGTTGTGGCAGTAATTGCCTTTTAAAGCATGGCATATTCATATGGGAGAAATATCCTGACAGTTTGAGAACAAATTAAGTGAATTTTCTTGGTAGCGTAAAGCCTCATAGCTAACATAAACATAGTTATGCATCAGTTATTTCAGTTGCAAAACCAAAGGGCTTAAATCTACATGAATAAAAACAAACAACATAGAAGCTATAAAGAGACTATATATTTCATTGTAAACTGTTGTTTTCTTTTTTATTTCTATGTAACCCTTTTTTTCTTTACCCACCTATTAAATATGCCAATTAAATATAGTCTTTGACAAAGAATACAAACAAGTCATGCAAATGCAAAGGGGCAGTGTAGGACTAAAAGCATCCATTAACATCTTTTGCTCAGCCTGACAAGCTCAAAAACACGCTATTAGATGTATCAGTACGAAGCCAAACAACTGCAGCTTCTTCTAATTTTGAGCAAATGGCTCTATTCACAACACTCAAAACGCTGCTCAGCATTATGGTTGTTAACTATATTGTGTGGAAATAGGCTTAAAATGTGTTTTTCACTTTAAATAATTGAGGGATTTAACACTCTTTGAAGCACAAATCATTTTGAGGAAGGAAAAAAAGGAAACACGAGCCCAATCCATTCCTTTACATTCATTATAGACCACTTAAGACTCAAAAGAGTTAGTTTTCTGGATGAGAAAAAAAACAGTGAAACAGAGGGGTGTGATGCATGAAACAGGCACGTATGTACTTTAGCAGCGAGGGCATATACAGTTATCCCCGGTGGAGATAGCAGTGCAACATGTACTGTATATAGTATTTAAATAGTGTAAAATAAATGAGTATTGGGGGGTGTCTGTTCTGTACCAGATAGCGGTGAGATCCACCATTAATCATTTCACAGGAACATGACAACACCAAGGAGTGGGAGCTGAAAGGATAAGAATACACTGGCGAAAACAAGGCAATTCAATAGCAATAGTTCAATAGCTCTGAGAATATATGCTGTGCAATAGGGATGGAGAATCACTATGAAGTACTCTGTGATGCTGTGACGAGAATGCAATTTACACGGCAATTTGCAGGGTTAACCAAAATGTTTCACTCAGGAACCTGAATGAAGGTTCACAGGGGGAAAAAAAGAAAGAGCAGTCAGTTGGCAAGCAAGAACCTTGGGGAGAAAGAGAGATCGACCTGGGGTATTTTTTCTTCTTCTGTAAAATTGCAGAGTGAGAGGTCGTTAAGGAATGACAGGGGAAAAATGTTTTCCATATCAATCCTTCTCCCACCAAACATGATAGATCACTCAGTCAATTATTGTGGCAAGGACCAGAGACGCCTGCCTGGGAAGCCTACTTGGCCCCGCTGAGGCTGCACACCTGGGTCAAAAAGACGCAGCTGCATCAGTTATGATTGCAACTGCTTAACGCAGCGGGGCACAGCTCAATGGTGACTTTAACCCTGCCAGCGAAGAGGGGCTCTGCAGAGCACATAATGGCTCTCTTCTGAGAAGCAAAATACACCGATAAGGAGGCAGATTACATCCTATCATTAAGATGAGAGGTCATACAGACCTTCTTTACATTATCCCATCTCAAATTTAAGTAAAAATACTGAACAGTGTGTAGGGGTTTTGATTGCATAAGACAATGAGATTAACAGCTCATATCCAAATGATGTTGTGTAAGTTGGTGAAAATGCCATTATGTGTTTACTATCGCAGATGAATGTTAAAGCCGTCAGAGCCTTTGAATACAGCTGCACATCTGTCACTTGTGTAGGTGCAAATATACCATGATGAGCTGCAGTCTTTAATCATTTTAAACCACTCCAATTAGTGGAAAGCATTTAATTTAGTTTAAAACAAATACACAAGTTGGTGTAATTGCACTGCACGACACATGAAAGGGGCGTATCATCAGAGAGTGTTTAATTAAGCTCTTGTTCTACTCTGCATGAATATATTTAATAAATGCAGTTGCTTATGAAAAGGAAATTAAAAAGAGGACAAGATCACAGTGGCTACTCAAATTAAAGAACGCTACAATACAGTTCTTCTCCTTTCCTTTCCTTTTGCTCTTGGTGTTTGCAGTACCAGCAACTTACATGACATTATCTTCTTCCTGCTTTTCTCCCTATTAGAAAATAAAATTAGTTTAGGTGCCCGCAAACCCAATTACTGGCTGAGATAGAATGTATCCGATGTGTCACCGTATGTGTAAAAAGGTTGGGGCAGAACCATTGATTTAGGGAGGCCTGATTAGAGGCTGTTGGAAAAGTGAGTTTCATTTTTCAGGAACTGGCACCAGAACAATGGTATGGCTAAAAACAAAGGCTCATTTAACCACCAGAAGGACAAAAATGTTGTTTGACAGGTTGCACGCAATTCCACAGGGTTGGATTCCGCCGATATGTGTCAGTCCCATCCGTCAAATTGTCATTAGATTGTTTACTGTAGATAACAAGCACACAAACGTGGTCTGCTTCCAATTTTTAAGACGTTGAAGGCTTCATAAATTTCATCTGAGAGTTGCTGCAGTAAAAACAGGGACACTTTTAGCTATAAATCATTGTACCCAACCTGAACTGCGCAGACCCCTCTGGAGAGCTTCTTTTCATAATGCGATGGCTGCTTTTTAAACTCTCGTGGATGAATTATAGAGAGCAGGGTGACCAGACACCTGGCTCTGTCAGGCCCCTGGTATATTTAAATCAGGATTTTGAGTATCTAAATCTAAAGTGGCCCAAGCGAGAGCTGTCGAAAATGGATTTAAAAATAAATTGAAAACATGCATCTGAGGGGAAAATATATCCAATGAATTAAAACTAAATAGAATTAATGTAAATAAACACTTCATATAGCTTCAAAGTAAAACTCTCTCAGTGTATGACTTTAATTGTGAAGAAGCTTCATTTAGATTCGTAAAAGTTGGTTTAAGTGTGTGTTTTTATTTTGCACCAGTCAGATGAAAAGACACAGGACAAGACATAAAGTAAGCATTGCCTTTTTCCAATACTTTAAATGCACTAAGAATTAGAAAAACACTGATAGTTTCATATTGTCATGACACAAACATTCAAAAATGGCTGAGAGACAACCTTAACACAGTACCAGATGCCTAATATATTCACAGGGGTACAAAATGGATTTAGAATAACACAACTATTTAAATATGACACAGCAGACATTCCCTTAGCAAGTCTGAGTCCAGTTTAACTCCGCTCTGTTCATTTACAGTAATTTGATTCAGTTCCTACCCCTCCATCAGAGTTGGTCTCTCGTGGTTCGGGGGAAAAACCCTGTTAATGTGTAGGTCAATACAGCTCCCGAATTCATGCATTTCATTTTCATTTAATAAGGTGTCACTGTGGTAAATGAGTGTGGCACAAGCTGGGCAGTGCTTCCTTCAGTCTGTAGAAAATGACTGATTATCAATTAGTTTGGCTTGTCATATAACATATACGCATTTAAAGTCAAGGGGATTTGACTAGACGCTGTTCAAAGCACCAGTGGCAGTTCTGTCGTCCGTGTTTCAGCCAGAGGATTATAGAAATACCTTCATAAAGTTTGACAGGTTTAATCAAATGAATGCCTCCGTAAGTCATCCTAACTGTGGCTCTTTAATTCTCTCATTTTCCATCCACCTCGAAAGCACACAAAAGAAGCAGGCGGGCAAGGTGATTGAAATAGGAAAATCAATATATTTGTCATTATAGTCTACTTCACCCAATTCCGGCCCTGTGCATTGGCTCAATTCCATGTTTAACTCTAATTTTCAATAGAAAGGCCTGATTTGACATAAATGGCAAGATCTCCTGTGGCACCTCTTTACTTGTAGCAAAGTAATTATTAGCAAAAGACTAAAATCCAAACTACAGGGAGGGTTTGTGAAATATATATAAAAACTCCATTTTCTAAAAGATAATGAAGCAAAGAGTCTTTGTGGATTTGGGAGAGCAAAAATCTTTCTTTCTTTTTTAAATACAGTATGTTTTAAAATCTTCAATATCTTGCTTTAAGCTTCTTAATGAAAGTCCCACTCAAAAGGAGGATAATATTCCAGCTCTGTCACAGATGTTTTCATTTTACTGTAATCCCTCCATTCATGCTGGTTCACAGTTAACATCCCTTTTCCAGTAGTTGCACTATTTCACATTTTTCACACTGCTGGGCCACATTTAGAGCTGTGGATCCAGAGGAATCCAGCAGTTTCCTGTCTGCCCCATTAAGCAGCAGAGCTTTTACAATGGGCACACAGCCATGCTGCGCAGCCAGGTGTAAAGGTGTCGCCTTCCTTGAGTTTAGGGCGTTGACATCTGCATGATGTGTTATCAAGTGGAGGACACTTGGGAAACTGACACTGGTGCAGGCGACATGTAGTGGGGTCCATCCCTCGCTGTCCTCTGCGGAGTTTGGGTCGGCTTCGGCTGCCAGGAGCTTCGCCACCACTTCCGGCTCGCTCTGGTGGCAGGCGAGATGAAGTGGAGTCCACCCATTCTCACCTCTTGCATTCACACAACCACCCTGACTCTCCAGCTGGCCCACCGCAGCTTCATGTCCCCTCATGGCAGCCAGGTGCATGGGGGTCCAGCCTTGGAGGGTCCTCAAGTCCGGGCTGGCCCCATTTGACAACAGCTGCCTGCATATGCCAGTATGACCCTTCAGAGCAGCCAAGTGAAGGGGAGTGTATCCTCTGCTGTCTGCACTGTCAGTGTTGGCCCCATTCTTCACCAACTCTCTGACTACTCGGTTATGGCCTTGCTCAGCTGATAAATGAAGAGCAGTGGACAGACAGCAGTCAGTAGCGTTGGGATCTGCTCCCTGACCGAGAAGGAGCCTGGCAATATTCAGATGTCCATAGGCGGAGGCGAGGTGCAGCGGTGTCCTCCCCTGTGCCTCCTCCCGTTCTACAACAGCTTCCTGAGACATCCGTGAAAGCAGCAGGCGCACCACTGTCTCATGGCCGTTCTGGCAGGCCAGGTGTAGAGGCATCCAACCTGTTTTTTCCTGGGCATCTGCAACAGCTCCTTTGTCCAGAAGGAGACGGACAGTCCTGTCATCGCCGTTCTGAGCAGCAAAATGGAGCGGTGTCCACCTGTCCTCATCTCCTTGAGTGGCAGCTGCACCATGTTCCAGTAACAAAGAGATGATGTCATGAAACCTGTTGAAACAAAGTTTCATTCATAAGGTACAATGTGACTTTTAAAGGGACAGTTCACGTAAAGACGTGTTGCAACCTCGTTTCATCAACATTAGGCCTATGTTCACATACAGCTAAACTACATTCTCTTTTCTGTTTGATAGAAAAGTATTTTCTCCCAGAAATGTCAGACTGTGCTGTAGTCAGAAATGGTTTCAGTTCGAAAGCAGGACAGATTGCATGAAATGTCCCATATTGTGTCCCTTTTAGCATATTGTGTCCCATATATTGTCCCTTTTAGCAAAAGACATACTGTGTCTATTATTTCCAATTCTACACCTCCCTGTTTGTAACAACTACAAAACACAATAAAAATGGATTTTCACTATATGGGACCTTGGCTTGCAGATGCGAACACAAACAACTGCAGACACCACAGACACAGAGCTGTTATCATACTACTTTCCAGTCCACTTGGAGTCTGCTTGGGGAACTCGGTTCCATAAATGCACAGTAGATCTGTATCTATGTATTCCATGCATACAAACTACAGCTAAACACAGGCACTTCTGACCTTGTAGTGGAGTGCAGCGGACAGTCTGCACAGACACAGACTTTGAGCAATGCTGTGCAGACTTTGTCAGACTTGGGTGGATGATTTATTTCCCTCAGACCCTGGTGACCCCTCATGTACACAAATGGCCTTAGAATGTGGAGGCATAAGTCCACAATAGGACTTTCACCCTGAGAGACTGGGACCTGTGTGGGACCTTTCTTTTAAGTCCTCAGCTCCATTGTTATTACTCACTGTTTAGTTAGGCCCCACCCCATGTAGTAGATGATTGATTGGTTGAAAACAAAAACCCACAGTAAATCAGTAAAATAAACGGCAAAAATATGTTGACTGTAAACAAATTTGTCAAACCTCTCAAACATACATATCAGGAGAAAGTACATTTCCCTCAAAACACAATTAGGAATGTAGAGGAGTTGTATGGGACCATAAGGACTACATGGATGGGCTGTTTCTTAAGAGGAAGCAGTGACTTCTTAGACAGCAGAGACTCCAGTGGTTGTACTAAGCTGAGCTAATTGTCTTCTAGTCTGACATACAAACCAAAGATTAGCACCAATCTTCTCATATAGATCTAAGCAAGAAAGTGATTTCCCAAAATGTCAGTCAAGTCCTTAAACTTTTAATAGAGGAGCAGAAAGTCTTTGTTTGACTTTAGAAGTGCAGACATGATCAAAATAGCAATGTGCAAGCACAGATGACTTTTCTCTGTGACACTTGTGAAACACTTTGTGAATGTATTTTTATACAGACCTGTGCAGAGCAGCAATAATAAGAGGAGTGTAACCTCTGGCAGTCGTGCAGTTGACTTCAGCACCCAGACTCAGGACATGCTCGACACTCTCCGAATCACCACTGGCGACCGTGTAGTGAAGGAGACTCTTTTTGCCTGAAAACTGTGTGTATACATGCTCTTTTTTCACAGACTGCCTGAAACTTCCAAAGTCCTTTTTGGATAGCAGAGAAAGAATGCCACCCTGGCCATTCTGGTTATCTGTGAAATGAAAGCAAAGGGGAAGGTGTGAGAAAAAGTGCTGCAGACGTGCAGATTATAGCATCTGCACTGGATTTTTTTCCTGATTTTTGCCTTATTAAAGTTGACTTTCTACATGTTATTGTATCCAGCAGTGTGTTTGTGTACATACTGGCAGAGCATTAAGCTTTCTGTAGGCTGTAGAGCTCAGTCAATATCAGCTGTGTGTGAAATGTTTGCCTTGTGTGACAGTGAAAGAATAAATAAAGTATTATGTATTATCCATTAAATTCTTAAATCAACATTTCTTAGAAAAGGGATCCAAAAGTTTGCTTGAATGTGTCCTTTATTCTCTCTTATGAGTGTTGACTCTACTTTTCAGTACTAAAGGTAATATTTAAAATGTGCCTGCACTGTAAGTGGCTCTTTTTAAATGTCAGCCTTCCGGCCATTGTACTGTATTGAACATGGTTTTCCATCCTGCTCTGCCCTTGTGTTTACCTGAAGGAAAGCCAGGCATCTCAGGCAAAGAGATCTGAAACAGAAAAGAAAGATGAGAAAACACAGCAAAAGTTATTGACTTTGACATCAGGTATTACAAGTGGATACTAAGCGCTTATATTAGCCAGTGTGTGGGCATCTGTGTTCAAAAGGCTCTCACAATCAAGTCATTAATATTTTAACAGTTTAACAGCTTCAGTGATAATAAATGGACACATTCTGTGCTCTATCCATCCATCCATTATCTATACACCGCTAAATCCTCACTAGGGTTGCAGGGGGTGGAGCCTATCCCAGCTGACTTAGGGTGAAGGCAGGGGACACCCTGGACAGGTCACCAGTCTATCACAGGGCTACACTTAGAGACAGACAACCAAGCACACTCACATTCACACCTACAGACAATTTAGAGTCACCAATTAACCTCAACATGTTTTTGGACTATGTGGGAGGAAGCCGGAGAACCTGGAGAGAACCCACGCTGCACGAGGAGAAAGATCCCGGGTGTCCTCACCGGGACACGAACTGGCAACCTTCTTGCTATGAGGCAACAATGCTAACCACTGTCCCACCTTGCTAAAATATCTGCTGAAAAATGGCAAGAAAATTTAGTTTGAGTTTGTTCATCTACTATTGAATAGATTGCCTTGAAATCCTAATGACTCAGATGATCCCTTGAATTTTCATTTAATGACAAATTATTTGACATTTGCACTCTGCTTAGATGAACTTGCTGCAAATATTGTTGAACATGATAAACATTAGAATTGCAAAATGTCAAAAATTTTGCATTGTCAGAGTGAACATGCTGATATAGATGCTATACCTTAAAGCAACACTGTGTCAAAAACACCCTCTCTGAGTCATCAGCTGTTGACAATACCTTCCTCATACTTCCATGAGTCTAAGCTGCCCTCAAAGCTGCAGTAGATACAATAGGTACAACAGCACCATTCAAACAGAGTAACAAGCAGAACTAACTTTATGTATGAGGGAAACCGGGCAAGGATAACTCGATTTCTGTACCTTGTAACCATTTTTGTCATTCTGAATCGGTCCTGCGATCTTCATAATTTCACTCAGAGCCTCTGTTTTCCTCACAGTGTCTGCAAACAAAACAGCAGTCAACAACTGTTCTGAATCTGCCTGTTCAAACAAATGTAATCCCAGAGTTGCAACTCCAAATCCCAGCAGGATGCTCCTGTAATTGCGTCGCTACAAAGAATGGTTAGTCATGCACGACTTACAGGTAAATCAGTAATGATAGCAGTGAGTTTTGTAAACGTCACAAATTGGAATAGCTGCTGTTTTTGAGTAAACATGACACAAATTTGTATTCATTAGCATGACTTTGCTTGCCATAAGTGCTTGTTTAAACAAGGGTGACCCACTTCCTCATGGTTAGGCTAAATGATTAAATCTCATTTGAACGCATTTCACTGAAGCATGACGTGCACTAGAATGTGTTTTCTATGATCTTATCATTGATTGTTTTCTTGATACTTAGGTCCAGGGCCACAGGGGACAACAACATGCTTCTTTTTTTCGTTTGGTGTGTTTTTGTTTTACAATATGTGAGTTAACCACTACTCTTTCCAATATTACGATATATAGCATAGTAATAGTGTGCTACACCACGTTTTTCCTGGAGTGCAATGTTTAGCAGTACGATTTATTTATTTTATTTATTGATAAAACACAAAAGCATTTACCTAATGTTGACATTCTTAAGGGAAAAATGAATATTCTGACTGACATCCCTTGGCATCATTTTTACTCAAATATCACTTATAGCGAGACATTATTCTGACAACAGGAATTAAACACAACATCAGACAAATCTGACAAATTACACCCCTTTCTTCTATGAATGCAAACAAGATATTGTGCATGCAGTGATCCTTTCCCACAAGTTTTTGTTGTTGTCACATCTTAAATGCAGATGTATAGTAATTAAATGTGTATTTGTACAAATAAGCCCTGAAATACCGGTGTCGTGGTTTTATTCCAGGATATTAGAGCAATGTAATCTCAGTGTCCTTGAGTTTAGTTCCTTCATTTTATATTTTAGCAAAACATGGATTCTCATCTGTCATGAGCTTGAAATGTTAGTTTTAAATCAATTTGAGAAAGCGGACCAAAAACATCTTTTTTTTGTCTTTTTGTCCTTTTCACTTTGTACCTGAGAACTGTGGCCTCTTCCTGTAATCCTGGTCCCAGCACTGTTTCATGATGCTGACCATCGGATCACACTCGGGGGGCTTCGGTTCAGGTATCATCTCCACGTGGGGTCTCTTACCTTGTGACACCTGTAAGAGCACTGTGGTCACGCTGCAGCCTGTGTGCACAAAACACGTGTCAGACACATCGGACCTTGTGCTTTTGGTTTATGAGAATATTCTTCACCCTTTAAACAAATCAATACACAAGCTGAAAGTTTACATTTGTTTTGTTTTTTTTGTTTGTTTTTTTTCTGCTTTTGAAAAAAGATATATCAGATTAAATAGTGAGCTTCAGATGTGCATTGGTTTTACCTTTAGAAAAAAAAAAATCAGGCTGGCATGTTTAAGCTAAGCTAACATCTCCTGGTTTTGGCTTCATGTTTAAGAGACAAACACAAAAATGGCATCAGTTTCACATAAATCACTGCAAGAAGACAACTAAGTCATGTCTCAAAACATTTTTTCCAAAAGCATAGGTTTTGTTTACTATATTATTTATTTTGAATAATTAGTGCATGACAAACAGCAGGGTTAAAGTTCACATGCAGCAACAAGGCAGCTGCTCCAATGTCCCAACTCAAAAGCTGTCATGACTTCAGAAGTGTTATGGATTAATTTAAAAGAAGACTGACAGTATGATACCTCTGACCTTGTACCTGCCCCATGCAGCATCTTATTTCAGCTAAACACTGTATGCCCATTGTTAGATCAGATAACTGAATGTGAGGTGTTTGTCTCACAGTTTGCGCTGCACTAGACAACAGAAGTGAGTATGTCTCTGTAGTATTAGTTTAATCTCAAAACTGCATCACCTTATAGTAACTGCACTATTTCTAAGTTGAACAGTTGGGCATTTGCTCCTTTGTAATATTAAAAACTATCATTTCAGATTTACTTTCAAAAATACAGGCCCCACAGTTGGGAAATAGTGCAACAAATATCAGTACACCTTTTTTTTTTTTTTTTTTTTCAACTGAGATTCAAATCTTCCTCTTCTTTTTTTCAAGATTATGTATGTCCACCTTTGCATGCAGGATACCAGTGTTGGACAGATCTCTGGAGAGATTGTCACATCCTGTCAAAGGGCCATGACAAAGCAGGGAGATAAACTGTTTTCAGACTGTTATTACATTGAACGAAATGAGGATACTTAAATACGACGCTCGTGGAGCTCGAGAATCAGTAAAATCTGTGGTGTAGGATGTGCGTGGGATAGTCTATATGAGTGTTGTGGGATACAAAAAGACCAAGTAAAACAGCGAAAGAGAAACTAAAGCAGCACTACCACATGGCTGCCTGCCTGGGTAAGTGAGTGCCAAGTGCCAGACAAGTGCCAGCAGCATCCAAAGCTTTACTAGCTAAAAACACCAATCCCAGGTGATTCCAGTTGGCGCAGACCAGCCCTGACCCGCCCATATAAAACACAGACAACTGACAAGAAAAAGCATATGATCTCAAGATGTTCTGCCAATGTTCTGAGATTTTTCTCTTTCAGTTTCTCTTTGCTGAAGCTGTTGTGTTGTTCTACCTTTCTCATTAAAATATCCGAAAGGTATCTTACTGGATTCAAGTCAGACAACATACTTGGCCATGTCACAGTTTTTACATTTTTCCTGTTTCAAAACTCTCGTGTGATTTTGGCAGTGCGCTTTGGATCGTTATCACGCCGGCAGATTCCTCCTCTGCCAAGCTTCTGCAGATTGGGAGCTATCTTGTCAGCCAGTATTCTTGGTGTATCTACAGACGTTCATGGTGCCATAAAGGCAATCTACCCAACACATCTGACACTCATGCAGCCCCATAACATCACACTGCTCAACTCAGAGCTATGCATTTACTGTTGCAGTCCTTCACACCAAATAGGCTGGACCCCATCTGAGCCAAACAAGGTGATCTGGATCTCTTCTGATAAAAGAACGTGCTCACAGTATTCATCAAGCTTCTTTTTGTTGTTGTTTAGTAGAATTTCATCTCGCAGCTTTGTGCCTAAAAGCAGCCCTGGTATTTTGCTTTTGGATGCCATCCATGGAGGCTGTTGTGATACAATTTTATCTTGCACTGTCTTTGATTTCCATTGAAAACTCCTGTGACAAGTCTGAAGCGCTTGCGTATCTGTTTTTCAGAGCTTGATTGTGCACATAGCACACTGTTCATCATTTTATGTGGACAACCACAGCAACTCAGATTAGTGGTGCTGCGCTGTGGATGGTTCTATACTGCTTGATTACTGCTGCAACTGTGTGTAAACTGATTTTTAGTTGTTCGTCAGTCTTCCTGTGTCCTTTTCCTTTCCTTTGCAAAGTCTCACAGTCATTCCCTTTGGTATATATTTTGCATGTGGAGCCATGATGCAGATAAATGCAACCTATAGGTCCAAAACTGAGAAAGTTCAGGTGTTTAAAGGTCATTTTTAAAAACCATCTTCATATAATTAAACCAACTGAAACTCAAGCGTGCACTCAGTTTTGTGTCAGTGATCCCATGTGTATTCAGTTTTGTTGCATCGCCTTCCTTCTTTGGGTCCTGTGTTTTTAATCTAGCTTTTATAGCATATTTGTTTTTGTTCATAACTAAATAGTCTAAATGTCAACATAGGATAAAAAGCAATTATTGAGAAGTAATGAAATTTTTAATCATTTGACATTTAGAATATTGCAAAAGGGGTTTATTGACTTCTATTGTACACTGCATTTAATTATCTTATTTACAACATTCAGACGGGCTACTGTCAAGTTTTACAGTGCCCATTGTGCCGAGGTAATAAGGTTTAGAAGGGAAAATGTGTAAAATCTGTTACTATGGTAACATTTTCAAAGACAGCAGTATAATTCAGCTCGAAACACTAAAATAAAAATGCTTTCATGCTTATGCTGTTTAAGTTATCATATTCATTCATTTCAAATGAATTATTCCTACCTGCATGTGGTTTCTGCTGGGTCAAAATCTCCCACATCACAATTCCAAAACTATAAATCAAAGCAGAAAGAAGCAAATCAACTAATATTGTCACTTTAGCACATCATGCATTCAGTGAACTTTGTGGACTTTCCTCTCTTACATAAATAAACAGAAAATAAATAATGCCCTATAAAAAGCATGAGGCGTTTTAATATCAAATAAACACCACTGGATACTAAAGGGCAAGAAAGAGTGAGTCAGACCCGTGTAAAGTATATAGAGTAAGGCCTTGTGACTTTTGAGAGATTAAAAACAGCAGAGAGCAAGGTTATACTATGTGGACTGTGCACCGAATCAGAAAAACCTCTGATTCTGATGGTGCAATTTCAAACGTGCCCCTGGCAAGTCACCTGTAAACATCAAAGGTAGTTCCTGGAGGATCAAGGCACTGAGTGAAAGTCTCTGGAGGAACGTAACTTATGTTCCCTCTTGCTGTCAGACGCTCCATGAACAACATCTTGCTCATGCCTTCCTCCCAACAGATTAAACCAAAATCTGAAATCTTTGTGGAAGAACAAGAGTTACAGAATAGTGCAGAATTACATACAACAATGTCAAGAGATCACTGCAAGCATGTAGAGTTTCACTGACCTTGACATGAAGGTGATCGTCTAGTAGGATATTGGAAGTCTTGAGGTTAAGATGGAGTAGTGGAGGCTTCATGCTGTGAAGGAAATTCATACCCATGGAGGCCTCATGAATCATCTGAAACTTCTTTGGCCACATCAAAGTGTGGCTGGCTAGGAGATTGTTCAAGGATCCATTACTCATGTACTCCATCACAACAGCGGTTGCTTCACTGCACTGTCCGTAGATGGACATGATGTACTTGAATTTCAGTTTGGCAATCTTGTGCGCCTCATCTATAATTCTCCTGTGATGGAAAAAATAAGTGTCAGTGGGGGGTGGGGTTGACTGTTACATAGAGATTTTGAACACTTAGAACTGGAAAAATATTTCTTTTTTTCTGTAGCAAAGGCTAAAGAAAAGACATTTTTAGAGTTCAGCATTCTTTCAAAGTGCACCACGCCACTATGCTAAGAGATTACAAGAGAGCTGAGCAATTTAGACTAGTTTTCACAACTCAACACCCACCTGTAAAAGTTGTTGGCACACAAAGCTCCATCAAAGCTTTTCAAGGCACATTTTTCCCGCCAGAGCTTGAGCTTGACCTGGTACACTTGACTAAATCTGCATTCTGCCACCTTTATCCAGTCAGCCTCGAAGTCGTCCTTCTTGAAGTTCCTGAAGTGCCCGGGAGATCCGTCAGGGCAATCCATGAGTACAACGATCCTCTGTCACACAGTTCCCCACGACACCCTCGCTCTCTAATCCTGTACGTAAACAGGGTTTATCCTCCAGATCAACATCTATCAGTGGCACCGCAGGAGCTTGTTTCACGCAGGGAAAGTGAAAATTGTATTTCATGGATACACATTAAAATCAGTGACAGCTGGCTGAGTGAAAGGCATATGAAGTCACACACAAACTAGGCTACGCTCTTGATCTGTGGGAGGAGCTGAGGTGCAGAACGTGTTTGCATTGCAATGCCGCAAAGCCGGTTTGTAGCTGTCAAGACATGCTGATCTAGCTTTCAGTCTTCCAGACATCGAATGACTTTTTTATCTTTCCCCTCCCATGACAAAATATGTTCTTATCCATGTGAGAGAAAAAAAAAAACCTAAACAGTTCCTAAGAACTATGTAGGTTGAGCAGCACCAACAGGGTGTCAGTTATGATAGTTGGTATGATTAATATGTCCATTGTGATTTGGGTCTGTATATACAGTGAGTGAACTGCCTAATGAACCATCCACTTCCATCAAACTGCACTTTAACAAGGCACTTAACCCCCAGCAGCTCCAGTGGGACGGCTCAGTCGTCTGCAATTTGACTTTGAGGATATGGCCATTTAGCTGGTGCCAGGAACTGGGTGGACGGTGTGTGAGTGCGAGACCCACGGGCTCGGACACAGCTACTCTAAAAAAGCATTAGTATGTATTGCACAGCTTGTTTTCTGCACTAAAACAAAGCTAAATCATTGCCTGCAACATTAGTGTACACTGTATACATGTAGGATCAGTATTCCACTCCTAACTGCTGGGTCTGTTGATATAATGTATGTTTTCCCTTACCTTAACATGAACCAAACCGTATCCTAACCCTATAAAGGGCGTGGGGTTGGACACCACCCACTGCACAGCCAAATGGGGGCTATCTATCTTCTCATCTCCACACCGGTAAGCCTATTCTCCAAACTGTCAAACTAACTTTCTTTAAAATTTATGGTAAAAACAGTTTTGTTTAGGTACTTGTTTTTCAGCAAATTCTCCTCTGAGATAAATGCTTTCTCTGGATGGTTTGGGTCTTGACCTACACGCCAGCTGGTTTCTCTGTGTATGGAGGTGATATCAAAGCTTTACAAACCAGTTTGCAAACACATTAGAATTACTTTGCTGTTATCATGCAATGTCAGGGGAAGGACACAAAGCTTTTGTCTTTCTGTGGCAACAGTTCCAAAAAAGGCTTAGTTAAAACATAAAATATTCAAACCAAGTCAAAATAACCATATTCATAAGGACATGTTGAAGAGCTAAACTTAGAAATTCTCTTAAATTGTGTTCAAAATGGACTGTAAGGCTTTCTTGGCAAACCTCGGGCATTCATTAAGCATACATCAAGTATCTGCTGTCATTCCAAGCATGACTGAGCCTCATTTCTCATGTACTAAACACAGTCAGTCTGTCTCCTTTTGCCAGCTCTGTAAGGCACAAAAATGCAGACAAAAACAAAATAAGATTTAAAGCTTTAGAGCTAATTCATGTGTAGAGACTCATTCTTCTCCACATAGAAGGGCATGATTTCCTCTGCATTATACTTGCTGCCTCTGTGTGTGTGTGAAAGGCTGTTTTCAGCTGAAATTAAATATTGCCTCATTCTCCTCGAGAGCTGATCATGCGATTAATTTAGCATGATGTCATTTGATCAATCGATATTAAAGATGAATTGTAAATTTGGCACTGCTGCAGGCTGACTTTTTCGAGTGTCTTGTTGATGGCAATAGGAAATGTGGTGTGAGAACCCATCTCAGTGTCACGACATTTATGGCCTTAGATCCCGAAATCATGGATTTCATCTTTCTGCATCATTAGAGCAGGCTGTTCTTTGAGAGAAAAGATTTAAACTGCCTGGCTTATGTGGAAGGATTACCGTAATAGAAGGCTCATCCAAGAAGATGGGAAAACAAAGAAGTCCACCACCACTTTCATTCCCACCTGCTGTTCTCTTTTATAGGTTCGCCGGTTATATTTCACCACCACTCAGCTCCTCACAGCTGAATTCATCGTGAGGTCTTGTAATGTTACAGAAAACGATAAATGCACATGTGTACATTTATAGACACGCGTGCAAAAATTGTCCCAGCGGGTCACTTGTAGCTTTGGTGGTCATTTAAATGTTTAGGCAATCTCTGTTGGGTTTTCTTCATTCCTTGCATTTTGCACATTTAGTTTCAATGCAGCTCCTGCTGAGAGCATGAACCAAGTATAAACTCAATTGTGTGCAGCCCTCACCAGGCTACAGTCTACCTCTGACTGTCTCTGTCTTTGCCTAGCATTTATAAACTGTACTAGTAAATGTGATTCATTTAGGGTTTCTGCCCATGATGTATGTTTCATGGGACATCGGCTACAGGTCCAGATGCTGCACTTTTCCTCTTCCTCCGTTCCCTGAGCTGGCTCTTTGTTCAGGCTTTCATTGCCAAGCCATGGTTAGATTTTTTATTTTTTTTTATTAATAATTCCACTTCAATAAGATTTTCCCATCCCGGCTGCTTTTAAATCTGCTGCCTCGGCCTGCAGCACTGTCGTAGGAAGATGCTTTTATACATGTCTCATGACCCGCATGTCTGTGTTGTCATCAGCCTCCAGAAACCCCAAATAGAAAAAGCTATAAACATATTATTGTGATGCCTTATATGATTATACATTAATTATTTTGCAGCACACATGCACACTTATGAGTGGCTGTCAAAACTTTTTAGCTGCAATAAGAGAAGACATGAGGAGAATAATCTATCTTAAAACCATGACAGAGCACCATAATCGAATCCAGAGGCAGATCTGTTTCGATTTTAAACAGCATTTTTCTGCCGTGCACAGCTACGTCTTTATCGTCAGGTATATGCTGCATGTGCCTATGTTTATTTATTTTTCATTAGGTAATACGCTGCATATTTTTTTTAAAGAGTCAGCTCCTTGCAACTCAATGTTCCCCCAAACACCCTCCAACTGGCTCTATATGTGCAGGCGTGGTAATAGATGAATTTAACATTCACTGACAGCCATAGTTTCATGCTTCGCTAACTCACCCTATTATTTAGGACAGACTCATGGATTGATGTTCCAATGAAGACTAGGCAGTCGTGATCAGATTCCTGATAGGCTACCTGAGGGGAGAAGTCTGTCTTCATTGATGAAACCCACATCTCGCAGCTTAGCCAAATGCATTAGCAGGCTCCACCACACTGGCTAAGCTGACTGGTTACAGCTAAAGGCTTTTCCATTGCCCCCCGATGTCCTCTAATAACTAACAAGCTTAACTCCACTGTCTCTGATCCATATTCTGTGAACATAGACAGTGCCAAACATAACCAAACAAGATGAAATAGTGGACTGAGACAAACCGGTCACCTAATCTTCTATGTACTGTGGCAAATGCTCGAGTAATGTAGGCAGTGTGTTTCAGACTAGAAAATTAATTGGCTCCTGTGTAGCTCTCAAGAGCACTGAACCTTTTCTTTTTTTAAAAAAAATAAAAATCAATCCTTATCTTATGCAGATATTTTACCAGTGATATTTAAGCAGAATTATAAACACGGGGAGTACGTGAGAAAGAGCAGTAATATAGTGAATTTTAGCAACTGGAATCACAATGTAGGATTTACTTTTGAGAGGGAAAATTTGTAATATGAAAATGTATTCCTCTTTTCTGCACTATGTGTCAGTTCATTTAAAAAATTTTGACATGTAAATCTAATTTAATATACACCAGAATCTGTTTCAATTTGCCCAGATGAAAGTTTTTGAGTTTTTTTTCATAAACTGTGTGAAGTTTAAACTTTGTTTTAAAGTGGATTCATTAATTTCTATGTAGATGAGATAAAATATGAAAGACAGTTCTAACATTGCTAATAGCAACTCCTGCTGGCACAGAGGAGCATGTGCTGCAATCACAAGTAAGTAGGTACCTCTGTAAGCGTATGAATATTAACTCTTGTGGACGTCTTAGCACACTGAAATGATTCATGTTTTTTATAGCCGTTAGTTACTTATGTTGAGCCCTATCTTCTCGCATGACACAGTTTGACACTTACTGTGGGGTTATGTGAGGACTTCTTTCCTAGAACCAGGAAAGCTAAAGTGAGCTGTTCTGTGTGGCCACACACTCACGTGGGGAGATAAGGCGACTGTCATGGAGATGCAGGATAAAGGTACACATTTTCTGACAGTCTTCCCACTAAGGCATTCAGAGAGTTGCACTTGGTTGTAAACACAAAATGTGAAATAGCTGTGCAATGAATGAAAAAGAGAGCTTAAAACCCAACTCCTATTCTCACCTCTGCACAGCTGCCCAGTCGCTGCGTGAAATGGGTGTGAATGTTGGATTCTAAATTTCATAAAGTGGCAGACATTGTCGGATGCAACCTGTTACCTCTGATGTCGGGAAAGTGGGAGGGCAGGAGGGAGATGTTCAAGTCATTTACTCTTCAGGTTATATTTTTGTGAATTATTTGTACAGTGTTTCAAGTTCAACTCTTGCGTTTATAGTTTCCTATAATTTTCTGAAGCGTAAACACACCCCGTTTTGCAGTTGCTTCCACTAAAACCTCAAGATCAACTTCTGCTAAGCTCTCTGCATAAATTTGCAACTACATGTGTGGGGAGGGAAGAAATAACAATGCTAGTGTTGTAAGTAAATAGTAAATATATTATAAGAAACCAGTCTACAAGAGAGCTTTTTCCCTTATTGTATTATTTCACTGTGATTATTACGGATTCGGGTCAGAGACAATAATGATCAAGAATTCCTTCAAATTTTTCTCTGTGGAGGAATTACTTAATATCTTACATTATTAAAGGGTTCATTAAACATTTTACATTATGTGCCACATCATATTACAACATATTGGTACATAAAACAAAGCTGCAGGATTGTTAAATGTTCTTTTGCAATAACAAATGACACGACAGTTTCCTCAGCAGTCTACCGTGGAGGCTCAATATAAGTATCAAGCCATGAACGTATACATTATTTTAAACCATCATT